TGAGGGCTTGTGGTATTACCCGACTGCCCAGTGTGCTATCTAATACCTTATCCAGTAATTCTTGTTCATCATCCGTTAAGACTTATGGAAGCGAATCATCGGGTTATACTACTTTCCATCATTACAAGTTTGAGACCACCTTTTCAACGTAGATAGAAGTTCTAGGACTAACATCTGCACTTCATTTTGATTAAGGTATTTAGTTTACCAGACGACTGGAAGAATAAGTTCTTAGGTACTACCTGATGGGTCTGAAGCCTTGAGTTTTGGTTGGGTACTAGTTACGTGACTCAGCACAATGTTCAGGATACCGCTCCTCATGAACTGCATTCATCTTGGTTGATATGTACAAACAACTGACTTTAAAGGCCACCCTAGCAAATACCTAAATAACCAGTTAAGTTTCTTTGTTTACGAAAAAAGTACCGTTCCAGCCAAAGTGTTAGTGAACCTAGTTAAAACTGTGTTTTAGCGTCTAAAAGGAATAGAGCAACATCATAATTTGTATCTTCGTGGTTACCGATATCCGTTACAAATCCACACACTACTCGTTATTTTGGGGTCGTTCAGAGTATTTGTCACTGATTTATGGTTAGAAGTTTCTTCTAACCACCTTGATCACCAATCTCATGATATCTGCCAGATGCACACTATCATCTCTTCATTTTGTAGAATAACCTTGGCTTTTTCAGGGGAATGAGCAGGATTCCTCTCATACTCTTTAGCATTGTTACGTCTTAAATCTCATGCTAATGACAAACTACACTTTACTAGTGTTGAATAGTGTCCTTTCACAGTCTAAGGATAATTTAAGCATCTAAACTTTTAAATTGTCGGGTAATCACTTCAAGTTCACTGTTGAAGACATGAAGCTGTCGATTTTTCGCCAACTTTCAAAAAACAATCAAACTAGCAAAAAATAGTAGAAACAATCACTATACATTTAAATAAACTGGTCAAGTATGAAACATTTATAACTCTCTAAGTTGGCCACACATATGGTTTTCTGTAAAATACCTTCGCAACTAACAAACCTGTCATCAACAAAAGTCTCGTTCGCTATTGAAGATAACTTAAAGGTCCTTCCTCATAGGCTGAATGATTCTGGATTTTTAATCAACAACCAATTCTACTCCATATTGCATATCGATTCGATTTACCCAATTGCTTGGGTTTATTACAATAATAATAATAATATCAAAATAATAGTAATAATAATAATAATTGTCCCATGCGTTTCCAGTGCAACATAGGGCTTCGGTAGCACGCCGCCATTTCACTCTGTTCTCTGCAATCTTATATAACCTGGCTTCACGGCTGCCCACAAGCTCTCATTTCTTCCTCACACCATCTCCTCCATGTCACCCTCAGCTGGGACACCCAACTCGTCGTTTTCCATTTGGGTTCCACCCAACGGCCTGGCATGGCGCGTGATGTCCCCAATCGGTCTTCTCAGTGTATGCCCAATCCATCCCCACTTCCTTCTGCATATTTGCTAGGCGACGGGTTCTCGGTTAATTCTTTGACAGCCACAGTGAGTTCCTTGTTGCTTATTCCTCCCGACCATCTGATCTTCAGTATCGAGTGAGCGTAGGCAGCACCTGTCGATGTGTGTAGTTTGTTGCAGATGCTTTTCGTAACGCGCCAAGTCTCTGAACCATGCAGAAGCACTGACTTGACAGTGGTGTTGAAAATCTGGATCTTATTCAGGCTTTATGCTGAGTGCAGAAGATCTCCACACTGGTTTCAGGTTAATGAACGCCTGTCTTGCTTTCCCGATCCTGGCTTTGACGTTGTCGCCTGTGCCGCCTGTATTGGGAACGATGCGGCCTTGCCTAGGTAGGTAAAAGAGACTACTTCCTTTAAGTTTCTCCCATTGATGGTGATTGGAGCTTCTTCTTGTTATCGTTGTTGTTGTTGTTGTTGTTGTTGTTGTGGTGGTGGTGGTGGTGTTGGTTGGGTATCTTCATCACCTCTGTCTTCTCTACGTTCACTTGAAGTCCCATATTCGCTGCCCTGCCTCTTCTGCCAAATTGTTGGTTTTGCCAGTAGATCTTCGAGTTTGTGCGACATTAAACATAAATGAGCATCATGGGCGAAATCCACACCTCTTAGGGTCTTTTCATCGGTCCAGCCAGCATATCCCCCTCTTCTCACTCCTCACTGTTTGTTGCATGATCCAGGCGACCACAATCAGGAAGACTATGGGTGATGATAATAGGCAACCTTGTCTTATCCCTTCCTGTCTTCACTTCAAAGGCATCACTGAGCCTTCCCATTGTGAATTACACGGCATGTGACGTCTTCATATAGTTGTTGAATGAGGTTGATAAAGGTTTGTGGTATTCCGTAGTGTTGAAGCAGCTGCTTGCCAAATTACTTCTCGGTTGACACTATCGAAGGCCTTTTAAAAGTCGAAGAGTTGACTGCTATTCTATGCTCTGTTCTATGGTGATGCGTAGCGTAGCGTTGCAGTTTGATCCGCACATGATTTGTACTTCCTGAAGCCAGCCAACCAGCCTGTTCCAGCTGTATTTTGAATCCAGTGCATTCTTTAGTCTCTACAGGATGATGCGGCTTAATATTTTGCTTGGTGTGGACAGCGGTGGAGCATGGTTGCGCGCCAGTTCTTGCAAAGAATTAGGTCTCCCTTTCTGGGGGGTTTGACAAGGTAGCCATTCTCCCAATCAATGGGCAGGTACCTTCCCTTCCTTCCAGACCTTTTGCAACAGTGGTGCGGGCATGTCACCTGGTGTCTCTGTATCTGTTTTCAGTGCTTCTGGAGGAATTCCATCTGGTCCTGCTGCTTTCCCGGTTTTCACTAGCCTTATGGTGTTGAGGACTTCGACTTTCGTTGGAGGGCTTGTGTTGACTGTTTGTTTTGTTACTGACCTGCAGCTTGTGGTCGATTCACCTACCTGCAGCAGCCTGTTTCGCTTCACTTGCAAGTGTGTTGTAGAGGTATCTTTTGTGTTTGCGTGAACTCTTCTTCACTTCTTTTTCCAGTGTAGTGTTTTATACGTTGTACTCAGGTCTTCTTCTCGTTGTTCATCCGTACACTGCACTGCACTGCACTGCACTGGTTCATCTTCTGCTTCACCATCCTCCTCTCCCTGCTCTATCAGCTTCTATGTGTCCGTCAAGGTCTATTCCTTATCTTCTTTCTTCTTCCTTACTAATACAGTTGTGCATGTTCGCTTCCACATAGCTTTCAAAGAGTTCCAGTGTTCATCCACACAGGTTTCTTTAGAGTTGTTGCTCGATATCTCCTATTTTGTTCTGATGGCTGATGTGAAGATTTCCTTCGTACTTTCATCCTTCAGTTCAGTTTCTGTTCTGGATGTTGACATTGAACTGTGGTCGTCTATCACCAACTTCCTTGATGGCTTTCAACCTGATTTTGAATGCAGGTTCCTTGCACTAGATAGTGAGTGATGTGAACTTACATATGCTCCTCTTCTCGACCTTGTGTCAAGTAGACTACGTCTCCACTTTCATGAGGCTGAAATGAAGTCTATCTGATTTTTAGTGTGTCTGTCTGGTGAAATCCATGTCGCTCGCTTTGTGGATATCCTTGTGTTTGAATACAGTGCCTCCAATCACCAAATCGTTAAATGCACAGAATTCTGCAAACAGTTCTCCATTCTCGTTCATTTCACCGGGCGCTACTCGACCCATGATGAGTTCTCTGCCTGTGTTGTCCGCTCCCAGTTTAGCATTCATGTTGCCCACTAGGATTTTGATGTCGCCAACTGAGGTCTTGTCCAGTGTTTATTGCAGTTGTCTGTAGAATTCCTCCTTCTTCTCTTGATCTGCATTATTTGTAGGTGCGTAGCATTGTATGCTTGTGACTTTCCTTCCTTTTGAGTTGAACCTTGCTGTTATGATCCTGCAGGAGATTGGTTCCCACTGCATGAGAGCCTTCGATGCTGTTGTGGACATCATGATAGCCACTCCCTCAGTGTGCTGGTGGTTGATGTCTGGGTGACGAGTAGATGATTGACTGTCTAGTTGGTAGTTTGGAAAGTCCACTTCCATTCCATCTGCAGATTCCCCGCAGATTCCTAGCACTTCAATGCTATACCTTCTCATCTCTTTTATAATCTGTGCTGCCTTGCTAGGTTCAAACATTGTGCGGACATTCCATGTCCCCACGTTTACTTTCGCTTTCATTGAGAGAAGACACATCGGCCAATTGGCTTCCCGAAGGCTTTCACCAACCGTCGTCATTTCGTCTCTGTGATTCCAGCGAGGAATAGGTCTGTTTTTATTTTTTATATTTTGTCTTTGCTTCGAAGTTTCTTTAGCGGTTAGATTTGTTTTACGGGGTAGGGTTGCTAGCCCAACTCCCAACCTTCCCTCTTTACCGGGGCGTATGACCGACTAGTAACCAGTGAACTAGTTAACCAGGCGAGGTTAAGTGACAGGGCACCTAGGTTTTGACCCCAGGCCTTTCGACCTGCAGTCGACAGCTCTTCCACTGATCTGGGGTTTAATTGGTTTTCAATTATTTTGAAAGGGCAATGCAAAACGCATTCTCGGCTGACATTGATTAACACGTTAACCTAAATTAAGCTCCTAACCAAGAGTATTAATAACACCCACAATCTCTTTTGTTTGATATGTCTAAGATATGATAAATGACTGAAACTCTAGGTGATTGAAGTGAAAACAAGACTTGACCAACCACTGTCCTGTAAACCAATCAATAAAGCACCTGGCAGGTAACCGGAAGACTGCTTGTTTGAATTTGTTAGCTATCCCTACTTTTGTTTTTCAAATTCAGTCACCACTCCTAGCACATTAAAATCAGTGTATATCAGACGAAGGCTATATGTAGTCAGATAAACCTAATTGGATCTACCCATTTATTTTATCCACTGTTTAGTTCAAAAACTAAAAATGTGCAAGTTGTGAAGTGTATATGTATTTGTTTTATGCTTCTTGAATAAATGTTTGTGAAAATGATATCACATAATCATGATTATTCCTTTAAACAGATTCGTATTCTCGTTGGATGAATGATAATTTCAATCTTTATACGGAGTTGTTCAATGCATGTGGAAAGATTGACTTAAGTTTGCCAGGGAAGAAGGATGGTAAGTTTTGTGGGATACCTCATTACCAAGAGGTGATCAGATAGTATATGGTTGTTTTTTGTCTGAGTATTATCATTAACTTAACTTTATTACTTTTAGTGTTTTTTAAATGAATGATTAGCATTCGTAAACATATTACACACAATCTGTTTGATGATTGTGAGCTACTTATGTTCCTGTCAGCTTGATCTTCTCATTCACCCTGCATATAATTTGGGTCGAATTATTTTAAGCCATAAAGTTACTGAAATCCGGGAAAGCAGCAGGACCAGATGGAATTCCTCCAGAAGCACTGAAAACAGATACAGAGACACCAGGTGACATACCCACACCACTGTTGCAAAAGGTCTGGAAGGAAGGGAAGGTACCTGCCCATTGATTGGGAGAATGGCTACCTTGTCAAACCCCCCAGAAAGGGAGACCTAATTCTTTGCAAGAACTGGCGCGCAACCATGCTCCACCGCTGTCCACACCAAGCAAAATATTAAGCCGCATCATCCTGTAGAGACTAAAGAATGCACTGATTCAAAATACAGCTGGAACAGGCTGGTTGGCTGGCTTCAGGAAGTACAAATCATGTGCGGATCAAACTGCAACGCTACGCTACGCATCACCATAGAACAGAGCATAGAATAGCAGTCAACTCTTCGACTTTTAAAAGGCCTTCGATAGTGTCAACCGAGAAGTAATTTGGCAAGCAGCTGCTTCAACACTACGGAATACCACAAACCTTTATCAACCTCATTCAACAACTATATGAAGACGTCACATGCCGTGTAATTCACAATGGGAAGGCTCAGTGATGCCTTTGAAGTGAAGACAGGAAGGGATAAGACAAGGTTGCCTATTATCATCACCCATAGTCTTCCTGATTGTGGTCGCCTGGATCATGCAACAAACAGTGAGGAGTGAGAAGAGGGGGATATGCTGGCTGGACCGATGAAAAGACCCTAAGAGGTGTGGATTTCGCCCATGATGCTCATTTATGTTTAATGTCGCACAAACTCGAAGATCTACTGGCAAAACCAACAATTTGGCAGAAGAGGCAGGGCAGCGAATATGGGACTTCAAGTGAACGTAGAGAAGACAGAGGTGATGAAGATACCCAACCAACACCACCACCACCACCAACAACAACAACAACAACAACAACAACAACAACGATAACAAGAAGAAGCTCCAATCACCATCAATGGGAGAAACTTAAAGGAAGTAGTCTCTTTTACCTACCTAGGCAAGGCCGCATCGTTCCCAATACAGGCGGCACAGGCGACAACGTCAAAGCCAGGATCGGGAAAGCAAGACAGGCGTTCATTAACCTGAAACCAGTGTGGAGATCTTCTGCACTCAGCATAAAGCCTGAATAAGATCCAGATTTTCAACACCACTGTCAAGTCAGTGCTTCTGCATGGTTCAGAGACTTGGCGCGTTACGAAAAGCATCTGCAACAAACTACACACATCGACAGGTGCTGCCTACGCTCACTCGATACTGAAGATCAGATGGTCGGGAGGAATAAGCAACAAGGAACTCACTGTGGCTGTCAAAGAATTAACCGAGAACCCGTCGCCTAGCAAATATGCAGAAGGAAGTGGGGATGGATTGGGCATACACTGAGAAGACCGATTGGGGACATCACGCGCCATGCCAGGCCGTTGGGTGGAACCCAAATGGAAAACGACGAGTTGGGTGTCCCAGCTGAGGGTGACATGGAGGAGATGGTGTGAGGAAGAAATGAGAGCTTGTGGGCAGCCGTGAAGCCAGGTTATATAAGATTGCAGAGAACAGAGTGAAATGGCGGCGTGCTACCGAAGCCCTATGTCCTACTTGGAACCTAACGAACTAATAATTGTAATAAATTTGGACCACGCTTTTGTTCGAATGTGAATACCCAGAAATGCGTCATACGAAAGTATGAAGAAGTGAGTGTTGTAGAGGAAAGGGAAGAGAAAAAAGGAGGAGAAGGAGAAACGAACTTTTAAAGATTCGGTCTGGAGGAAGCGTCGAACGAAATCCTCAAAGTCTTTGTTGTATCTAGGGTTAACGGATGAAAGAAGGAGGCTGTAGAGTGATAACGGCTGGTTTGATTTTGAACTTTGTTCGATATTGTCCAAAGCTATTGGGTGGCATGTTCCTTTTGTCGTCATCCAAGGGGTCTTAAGGCACCGGAAAATGGTGACGTATTAGAAATAGCTTTCATCCCAAAGTACTAGGTCACGCCAACCATATAGCTGCATCTTCCAGTCGGTACGCCGGCTAGTAAGCAGTGAATGGTTTGGAAACCCTTAGGATGACATTCGTAGTACACGTCCGACCTACTGAAATCACTTTTTCAAGATTGATTCATTCAGTGATTAACTAACTGTATCATAGGCAAATATGCGTTACCAGGCCTCAGAATTAGTTATGTGGTATTTCCATCGGATGCCAGTAATCTTAAAAAGACAAAGGAACACGCATAGTTATCGGACATCCCCAGCTTCGAAAGGCCACTTTTCACAGACTTGTGGAGTCACTGTTAGCTCCGATCCGTTGTATGCCTATTCTTTTACAGCAAAGTTAATGTCATAGTGACACTAAAGGTAACCTGGTGTGATGTGTGGCTCTGTGGTTTTCAATATGTACGCAGAGATTTCATTAATTGTACCGCCATTATCACTTACACAACTACCTAGATACAGGAACTTTTGGACTACCTCCAACATTTTCCTACCAAGGTTGTGTCTGGGCACAGAGGCTCGTGTCAGCTTTGAGTAGTCATTTTGTACATCTACGGTCCAAAGCATAAATCATGCGGGCACTGATTACTAACTTTGGATGCAATTTGAGTTACCTATGTGTTTCACACTTAAACGATATCGTTCGCGTACTCGAGGTCTGAAAATGTCTCTTGTGGTACCAGACCTACAGCTTCATGACACACCCTTAGAGCTCTCTTGAGATTTCATCGATGGCAAAGTTAAAAAGAAGTTACGAAATCAAGCAACCCTGTCTGACCCTGCTGTTGGTTTGAAACAGTAGAGAAAAGTGATTTTATGCTCTCACTCTCCTTGGGTTTTTACAGTATGCAGTTTTCAAGATGTCGACAAACTTCATAGGGATATCTTTGTCTAACGAATGTTTCAGAATACAGCCCTCTCCACCCAGTCGAATACTGCACTGATATCAATAAACGCCGTGATTATTGCTATGGAGCAGATATGATAGTTTTCGAGGTTATGAACGCAATCAATGTCTTCACTACATGAACCTAACCCTGTCTTCTGCTGGTGGCGAATTTTCAAAAGAAACTTGTCGAAAAAGGAAGGTGGATTCTATTTTTAAAGTCAAAAAGTACAGTTTAATCTGGGTTTTTTTTTCGGGATTAACGATCAGTTTCGGTCTGTTTCAACTTAGCAATTTATTATCTATCTGGGTTCAACAAATGTGTCTCAACATGTTCACCTTTACTTAGCTTCACTCATACTATGTCGATACTTCGGTATGACTAAGATTTTGAGTATTCTAAGCCAGATTAAGTAATTTCTTAGATGTGTAAACTTTTCTACTTCCTAACACAGCTTTTGCTTCAGAAAGTAGTTTGATTTTACTAAAATTGCTCCCAATACACATAGGATTTTAATTGCGTTGATCATTAGCAAATTTAATGCCCATATAATAAATTAATTTTGTTTCTATTATTATTTTCAGGAACTAAAAATCAGGAATACCCATATTCTGGTGAATTTTATATTACCATTTTGCAACAGATTAGTGCTTCAGTTTGTGGTCTATCCATGGCTTGTTTCCCTTTTTTAGTAAGTTGATGTAATTCATGTAGCTCTTTAATATTTATAGCTTATTGTTTGTTTATTCTGACATAAACTTGTGTATACTAGGTGATGATAGAAAATGAAATGAAAGTTTGAACCGCAGCCATCTATCTCAGGTAGTCGAATGATAAAAACTTGTTTCTTAGTTTTCAGATATACAATGAAACATACGTTAAGTGACGCAATTACTCACAGCCACTTTCCCCTTGAAATAGTTACTCCAAGTACAGGCCTAGATGAGATAATAAGCGACTAACAGAAATGTTGGTTTATGAGATACACATTCTTTCACCTCAACGTTTGGCATACCATATTGCTGATTATTGTTGAAGTCAAGTACTTTAAAAATACTGGCATGAGATCGTAAATAACAATAAATCAAGTATCTAGAAATAATACTACATTCACCTACATGAATTTTTTTTTCTGATGTGTCGAATAGTTTAAACTATTTACTACTACCAGTAATATATTTCGCTGATAACAGTTTTATGCCAGAGATAGAAGTTTCTAAGTTTGGTTGCAAAGTATTAAACCGAAATCCTATTAATACCACAGTTGCGAACTGTTTATCCATTTTCTGATACACCCCTCCATCGAAGTCAGTTAAGTAGATTGATTTAATTTGAGCAATTCGGTTTTGCGAGCTAATCTTATCCGGATACACTGATAATGAGCTCAGCATAGAAATGAGCTATCTGATGTTTAGATCAATCTAATGTAGCCAAAGAATTTCACTGGCCAGAAGAAGTTGTTAATTACTGATGTTGTGCGGCTTTGTGTTTACTTACAGCCTACCTATTCGAATGGGATTTTGACTAGGTTGATAGATTTTTATGCCACATAACTTTGTTGTTTCATCCGTCGTATCACGATTTTTATCACTGATTGAATTACTGGGAAATTCATGCAATCACATTGGTCATTACAGTGAGTCGTTACCCGGACTGGCGGTTACCATCGTGGTTATTCACAAACACTTTTCATGAGGTTGCCGTAGATGCACTTTTAGACATTTTTCTCTTTGTGGTGATTTCTTAGAGACTGTTCTGCGACAAGAAGGTCCTGTAAGCAGCCTGAACTACATAAAGGATGTAGCCCGGTTAGCGACAATGTTGATAAGATACAGTTCCATATTAGATTTGTTTATTTGATATAAAGCGCACAGTGATACAGTATTATTTATATCAAATAAACAAATCTAATATGGAACTACATTCTACCACAGTGCCCAAGTTTTTCACTTATATTGATAAGATACAGTTTATGCTGTCGAAGTGATCTGTAACAGAATCTGGTTTAACAAAAATAACAAAATAGTTGGTTATTTCCGTTGCTTAAAATAATGTTTTATCAACTCTTATGAGCTGGTCGATGAAGCCTCAGGAGGTCAGGATATGAATATTTGACGCAGAAAATGTCTCCATTCTACAAAGTGTTTGACCAGTTTAGGTGTTAAAAGTGGGTGAGATTAAGGTACTATGGGTACCTTTATTTTATTTCTGATTTGTGGTGAAACTGCTGCATAATCACCAGTTCATTAGGACTGGAACTTTAATAAGTAAGGTAGATCAGTAAGTAAGGTTGTGAACTTGAGTTGTGTGGGTTGGCTGAGATCAGTATTACAGGCGCCTTGAGGATGCTTATTTCGATTGGCGATATTGGGTGAAAAAGGGGTAAGATTGAAGAAGTTAGTGGTGATCTGAGCACCAAATGGCATTGATCGACGAAGCCAGTGACTGTCGAACGTGGCTGTTTATGGTAGTGTAGGTGTTATTGTTGCGATTTAATATATGTGTAGAACTTTGTAATTGGATAGCCTTGGTGAAGTGACTCGAATCGATCTCAGCTACACAAGCATATTCAGCCGTCCACTCTTTGTAAATCTCATACATTATTGATACATCCATATTATTTCTGATTCAGTCATCTCTTCCTATTCTTTCTTCATTTTGTTTTTGCTGCAAAGATATGTGATAATTTGATTTAATGAAGTATTTCGCAAATTATTTTGTTTTATGGAAAATAGGACCTGTTTTTGAAGGAAATAAATAAATAAGGAGCCTTCATGATAGTGCTCAAAATGTATCACAATCGTTCGAAATTCGAACGTCCTTTTTTATTTATTATTTCTTCCTTTCATATCGTTATTAGTTGTTCTGGCATGTTTTCTGCCTACGATAAACTCATCGTACTGTGTAGTAAATTCAATTTATACTTTAGTTTCAGACTCTACATTAATTTCTCTAATTTCTGAACTGCTGCCAATGGTCGGATCACATTAATTTTCATGTTATTATTTATGCGGTATTTTGTTTGACTCTGTCCTTGTTTTAATTGGTTTCTTGTATGCTAAATCCTTTTTCTAGCATGTGATATTGCTTCATAAATCACTGCATATTTTTGATAATCAAGCTGGGGAATTGTATGAACTCATCTGAAGTTCACACTCAAAATTACTTTGTTACCCTAAATTCTGCCTTAGCAGTCTAAATTCATCTTAAACTTCTCGCATATCAACTCATGGTAAAAAATGTTATTAGTTGTATGATGATCAGCGGTAGGATGTAGGACGCACTTTGTTTCTGATTCGCTCTTAGCCAAATTTGTCTGCATCCATGTGATGGTGTTCCTATTGAGGCTCAAATCCAGCTCCTGTCACCTCCGATACATCCAGCCGATGAGTCACTATTTTAGGACGAGCATCACATTGTGAATTAAATTGGTAGTAGAGATCAAGGATATGATATGATATGAATCAGTGTAACTGAACAAAGTCACTTGTGTGCCAATAGTCATTGACCAGCTCAATTCAGTATGGTGAAAAAGGGAATTATGAAATCAAAAGTGTTGGCTACGGTTCGCTTCATTTCTTAGATGTTTAATTACCATACCTTTATATCTATTTTCGTAACTATTTATTCAGGAGACCGCTCTGCTACCATCTGTACTATCTGAACACCCATTCGTCCACTTATTAGCAATGGATGTATGGTGCTTTGTTGCCCGGTGAGTCTTTATCTTGTTGTCTGATTTTATTACCTATTATCTTGTAATATGAATCTAGTTATCAAATAATGTCATCATTTATTAACTTCAATGATATTATTTAAAGTCTGAAAATAAAGTAATAAAATTACTGGATTTATTCTCCCTTCCTGTATTTCTAAACTTAGTGAAAAATAGCATTGCATTCAAGGGGGAATATCTAAAATGATAGAAATGATACGTAAAGATAACTAAAAAGTAAGAATTGGCATTTTTCGGCATGAGTAGTTTAGTACATAGTATACATTTATGCAATATCATTTTGACCATCTGAGATAGACGTAGTATTATACTGGATGATGATTGGAGGTGAAATGCGAATGTACCTAGCTTCACAAGAGCAGGTTAATTGATATATGCACATTGAAGTGACTAACAGTAACAGTTTGGTCTTCGTATATATGTTCACCGTTTGGCGACCAGTATAGATGATTTGTAGAGTGGCTACATAGAATAATTTCTTGATAGCCTTCATTGGTCCGCGTTTCAGTACGTCATCTGCATCTCCACTGAATTTCAAGCTCAGAATGAGATTTTTTTCTCCACATTGGTAAGGGACTGAATGATAGCATTCCGATGTAGGTTTTTATCTATGAATCCCTCGGGTTATCATTTTCAGTGAACGTTGATCTTGGAAGTTAAACTTCTAAATAGTCGGGAGTACAAATCTTCTGGATTCGAGAAGTAAGGGCATGTATTAAATCCTTTTTCCGGTTGATGAGAACCCAGCTATGAAAGTATATCATTTGTCCATTCCAAGTAAATTTCAAATAAATTGTTCTTTTAGGCGTCGCATCATCTCTTTTTGTTAACAACACGTCGGAGAATGGCATCTTTGAGTATGATTCTATCTCACTTATACAGTTGATAGACAAGTGATGTCCATTGAAAAACTGTGGTACTTTCTGGAAGTCATAATTCTTATCATAAACAATAAATGTATCATCGACATATCTTCTGTAGAATTTAAGCTGCTTGATAGCTGTATTGAGCATGGTTCTTTCCAGTTCGTCCATAAGTATACCTGCTAACATCGAACCCACTGCTAACCCCGTTGCCATTGCGATTTGTGGATGTATTTGCCTTGCATTGTGGATATCTTTTTCTTTGGACCTACAGGTTCTGCAACCAGACTTCGTATTTGAATACTGTTTTAAGCTGTTCACCGGTTCAGCTGTTGTCCACAAAGCTACATTCCTTTTTGCGTTCTCAGAAAGTACTCGCGAGTTGTGGTTTTCCTGTTATCAAAACGTCAGTATAAATTTAGTGTTGCAATATATGACGGATAAGATACCTTTTTCAGGTATCCGTGGACAGCGGTCTAGTCACAGTTCGTACGTGCAGCAGTGGGTAAAGCGATTGGTTTTTGTGTGAACCCGATGATTGCTAGTGGATACTACATTTTTACCGAATTCTATTTTCGAATAAAAGTGCTCAATATCTCTCACTCTGCCGTTTTACTATGTGAAAAAAGTAACCTACCGACCAAGACTCTTCAGTTTTCTGTATCAAGCTGTTGCGAAATCGAACTTCTAATATATATTGAGTTATAAAAGCGGCGGAGAATGTTTGCATCTCAGAATCCGAATATTCTAATTAATTGTTCTGTGAACTATGGTTTCTATTGACAAGCGTTTCACTGTCACTGTCAAGTGTTTCAGTGTCTAATGACTGTGTGTAGCATGACATTGAACTGCTAATCAACCGAAACCCTAGCTCAGAGAGCAATTTAATTTGAACATATTACAGTGTATTCATAATATTTACTGATAACATCAGAAGTACACACTTTCAGTATAAGCCTTTAGTGGGTCGTATGAATGTTTTGAAAGGGATCGTTTTTAGTTTTCATCTGAATTTTCAGTGACTGTAACCACTTTAAAAATCAACAGATTTTACTTTTACTTTCTGGAAATACCACAACTGATTTTGGATTTATGCATTCTAGTTTTTGAAAACAAAAGTTGATATAACAAAGGGATGAAATCACCGAATGTACAACTGATGTCATAAAAAGACCATTATAGGAGAATATTACACAATGAAATGTTGCTGAAGTTTTGTTATTAAATTAAACACGCGTACTTCGACTTATTTTTGGGATGAGATAAACTATGTTTTGTGTATTAACTGACCTTTTGTATTACTTACTGTTGGTCTTTTATTATCGTGTCAATTATCTCAAGGTTTTTTTACATTGCGATCTTCGTGTTGTGTATGTATTATAGGCAACATGATTACAACATTGCTATTTAACTTTAAAGTGAACATGATAATCCACTAACAGAATTTTCATGTTAATATGAAGCTACAAACTCTTCTTTAGAAGTTTCAAGAATCTGGTACACTAAATTACATCAATTATAACTAAAAAATTCTAAACTTTGGATTTGTTTCTAATTGCATTCCATTAGGTATGGGACAAGTGACCTGTGCTTACATTATGTAACACTTCTAACTAGTATTGTCAATAAAGTTGCACGAAAAATACAGATGGAAAACTGTGTAAATGAATCTCATTCGCTTAGTTTGATGAGTATGGTCTCTCGTCTCAGTCATCTTCTATCGAGACTGATTGTTTTTCTTACGCCTAAACAACAGGTCAGTGATTAATAATTTATGAATAATCTGGTTTAATAGTTTGAATTGAATAAATTGTTAGTTGGTTGAAGTTGTAAAATGCAGACTACTATATCCTTATGCAATAGCTGGGTGGTAACAAGCTGCTTGTGAAACTTAGAGGTTCTAGTCACGAACGAAGTTCCGGCTGTCTGTAAGTTAATGTTTGGCAGGAAGCAACCATTCAAAGCACTAATATTTTCATTGGTTATCTATCTAGCTGACTTGAGTGCTTGTTTTTGCCTTTGTCTGAAAATGCATGTATGCACAGGCTCATCTTTTTAGTTCACTCGCTGTTCCAAACATTGGTTCATTCTTAAGCTTTCAAAGACATTTTATAGTGTTCTCTTCTGTTTGGTCAGTATAAAACCGAATCCTAGTAATACTAAGTTTAAATCAGGAGTCACAGTTCTTCATTCCTTTTTAACGAGTTTATCAGCTTTGTTGTTTTGCAATTAATGGTGGACGGTGTAGCTCATTGGTCTAGAAAGATGGCTTTCAGCGAACGGGTCATGGGTACGAACGCAACCCTATTTACCGAGGTTGGGGTAGCCAAGTAATACCATTGGCTCTCACACAATAGGTGTGACTGATCACCTACTGCACAAATATGCATAAGGTTGCTGAGTTCATTCCATCCCATTCCATAGTGGTATAGATTTTTCTTCACTAAACAACTTCCAACTGCTAAAATTGTATGATACAACTCAGTCAGCAAAAATTAACTTGAAATTCAACATTTTTGTTACCATATCCACTTAGTGGAGACGCTGACAAAGGGTTCTTCGTATATATTTCATTTTACTTCAAATAAACTAACTGACCATCGCTTTTTAACAATCCTGTGGTACATATCTCAATATATCATACAGAAATAGTAGCTATCAATTTTAAATGTCTCTCAGTGAATAGTTTTTCTGACCTTGATTAATTACACACCACTGAAATGTAATCAGCCAACAACAATGGCTTGAGATTATGTTTTAGTTATGCAGTGTTGTTGATTTCTAATACTGATCCAGATTCCAGTTTTTTAAATGCATCCGGCAAGCACTATTATATTGTACTTATTGTGTTTTACAAGCAATAACAGTATACACCTTTGCTATGAAGAAAACACTAGTGTATATTTGAAGATTGAAAGCTCTTGAATCATGGAATTGAATCAATGCATTACTTAGTCTTGTTGCTCTTGTGCCATGAAAAAGTGAATCAATGCGATTTTTCGTATTCTGATTCTGACCAAATAATATTTTTCAGTTTGAAAACGGTGTTAGTAACTCAGATTAGGAGTGGTTTCGTACGACAGATACCTTTGTAATCTTTCTGTAGGCATGCTTGAGATTATGTAAAAATCGATAGTTGAGCTATGGCTCATTCGCTTAAGGAGATGGCTACCATTCATTGAGTCACAAGTTCGAACCCGCTCCACCTACTGAGGTTTGGGCAGCCAGGTAGTATCACTAGCCGTCACACAATAGGTGTGGTTCATTGTCTACTGCACAACTATGCACAAGGTTGATGATAATATTTCCATTCCAAAGATTGATAAACAGATATCTTTCGCTAATCCATCACATTTTTATCATTTTTCTCAGTTCTACTGCATACCTTCTAAAAGTATCCACGTTTTATTTTCTGAACTGGCACTGATTGTATAGTTGGTGATGACTGGCTGTCTCCAAGTACAAGAGAAACATTGAAATATGAATCAACTTTACCAAAGTTTCAATAAATTTCAGAGATTCTTTATACATCTCACCAGTACTAATATGTTTCACAACAACATTTTGTGTTAGCCATAGAATTGTCGTTGACAAAATGTACTTGTAATGACGAATAAGTGTTCAGTTCTACTAAAATGCTCGCGCAACATCGAACAAATATTTAATTACTAGCCTAAACAGGATAACTTTAACCGATGCATTATCGTGACTGATCTCACATCATGCCCACTTAAGTTAAAGAAGATGGGATGGTTGATGTACTTAGCTACTGACGTCACCATAGAATCATTCGATTTCTGTAAGTTACTAGGTGGACAGTAATTTGTGGTTTTGGAGTTAGAGTAACAAAAAGAATATTGTTTAACGTAACTGTCAACTTTTTTTTGACTGAGATGATTTATATGTAGTATGTGCTCAAAGTGATCGCATTCTTTAATCTCTTATATCAAAGGGAATCAGGATAAAATGATTCCCAGGTTTCATTCTACAATGTAGTACAGATCGTTTATTAGTGAATTATCCAACAGTCGAAACAAGTAAAACATCTCTAGGATATCCAGAGAGATGTTGGTCACGGATGTCGAGTGATATATTTTTTTGGAATAAGTAACCGTGACAGTTATACTCACTTCTTTCTTTATTTCACAGTTTAAATTTATCCCCATTCTAATTCAAAATAATCTCTTATTTTTGTCTATTTAGAGTGTTTATCTTCATCAAAACTCACTCAAATATGTCAACCTTAATTCAGCTTCAGATTCAATTAGTTCTTTGTCTAATTCTTTAATTTGGTACTATGCACCTACTCCAACAAGTCGGTTACAAAAGGTTTCCTGCAATATTATTGAACAACAAGTAACTGAACGACTCTTACATCTAGACAACTTAATTGATATAAACAGTATTTCAGCCAACTCATCGCAAACTACTTATTTACTAACGGAAGTAGTAAGTGTGCTAGCTACTGCATATATATGTTGTCAGTTTTCTTTAGTTCTGTTTCTGTTGTCTTTATAATCATTTTTGGATAAACTTGCTAATCACCTATGCGAGTGTTTTCATGAATAAAGGTAATCCCACACTTATTAACAAAGTGTTACTTGTAGACGTATTAGTAAAGAAGAATTAATCTTTGATACGTGCATAATGTTAAATAGTTTTGGCCAGTTTTTTATATGAATTACAAATTAATTTTATTATGTTCCATATGCATTATTATATCTGTTTGTTGGGAACCTTTTGTTAAATGAATCACTGTTTTTTGTGCCAGATGACTAAATGGTTTTGTCATCAACAATCTGCTTCTCGAAATTTTCGTTTATTCGAAGGGATTTCATTTTTAACCATCTCATAGTTTGCATGAAAAGAGTTACTCATTCGAATGTTCATTCAACATTTATTTAATAGAATGAATATGTTTGCTGTTTAGATTAGTTTCGACTAAAGTTAGTGAACGGTATCTAACAGCCAAAGAAAATTTTGCAAATTAATTCTCTCACTATTGAGTTGGTTGACTTGCTGTATCAATAGTATATGTTTTGTGTTTTGAATTGTTTTAGAAGATTCAGTAGCGCGGATAACTATAGCTTGTTATGAAATACTCATATCTGCTTTTTGCTCATATTCTTTAATTTATAACTAGATACCGCAAATAGATAGTGGTTTTATGGTACATTTTCTTTCATGTTTTCTGTATACATGACTATAGGATCTTTAGTGGAACAAGCTGATGTCGAACAGACTTACATCGATTTTCATTTCTAGCGTTTCATAAATTTATTCCTCAGCTATTAAGGTGAGATAATGTCCTACAGCGAAGACATCCGAAAGGGCTGTAGAATTTTGGATCGCAAACATTCAACAGCGAATCCTTTTGTCATTTTCATTCAGTAGCTGCCTAAAACTTCCATCACAAACAATTCTTTTAAGAAATAACATTTAAATGTGTTGTTAAAAGTAAAAACCTGTGCTTGTTAGATTTCTTTGTCAGTTCTTTTAATGCATTTCTTAGTTTTTATACTACTTAAAATAGAGGGGTAATATTTATTACTAGCTAACAACGCAACCCAGGATGTGTATCTTATGTTTCTCATCCGAAGAGTCAACAGCTTGGAATTTTCTCCTTCGTAAACCATATTTTAAAAAAAATGTATTTTCCCCGCAAGTAAATCAGTTTATACTTTAAAAGTGTGTTTCTGAAGATCACCCCAGTAAATATATCTAACTTATCCAATATTGGATCACAATTTGATAAATGAGCCTTGCCGCGACTCAAGATTTCTGCATGTTTGATTATTTCGTAGATATAAGATTATGACTAAGCATAGAGTCGAAGATAACTGTGATAGAATGCAAAGTTTTCTGAACAAATTTAGTAATAATCTAAGTACGTTTTGTTTGCACTTCTCACCTGTCCAATGTATGATGTAAGAACTGACGTGCATCAAATTGCAGTTTAAGTATGGGGAGGAAAGTGGTGGAACGCGCTCACCACTCCACTTACTTGGGGAGCTGCATTGTCTTAAATCGGTTAGTTGTTAAAGATATCCGAACTCGGATACCAAAGGCCTGTTTGGAATTTGTCAACTCGCATTATCTCTAGCTTTGGGAAGATATCTGACTACCTATTATAGGACAAGTATACTGCATAACAGTCCGTTCTGCACTATTATATGGCTGTGAGGAATGGCCGTTGAAAGTACAAAATATGGCGAGACTGCAAGCCTTCAAACAGAAGTGTCTTCATAGGACTGCTCAAGTATGGTGGCACCACTGTGTGACGATTGTCGAGGTTAGGCGAAGGGTACTGAGCAATGCAAACTAGTCAGCTGATGAGATTGTGATTTTGATACCTGTTGCTCGTGCAAGCCACCACACCCCGACATGTGACGGTAGGGTTGGAAAAGGCTCAGGGTGACCGTACCAAGATATGGGACAATTTACGGAGTCCTTGACTGTTGACCTAGGCTTTGTAGACTGAGTCTTCTAGATGATAGAAATCAATAGTTGGAGACGCGTGGTAACGTGTTTCGAAATGGACTACAATGTTGCAGATACGCACACTGTATCGTCTCTGAATTTTTGAACATCTTGCCTAGCCTTCATTTCTTTTGTTTTTCTTCTCTCACTCACTTTTGTCTCGTCCTTCATTATTTTGTTTCTTTTCACTTTCTTTTTATCATATTTTTAGGCGAGATAAATCGAACTAATGCACTTTTGTGTCAGCTCTTGCAGGGATTTGTTCATTTTGAATATCTGCCTACAGTGTAGTTGTAATACATAGAATAATGGTTTTATTCCGTCGATACTAGTCAGGGCACAAAGTTGAATAACTATTTCTACTATAGTTTGTCGAATGAAAAAAACGACAGTATCTTTATGTCGAATATCAGTTGTGTATAACAATAATTCCTTGGAAAAGAGGTAATCAGACTTCTTTTTCCAGTTATGGAGACCCAACCAGAAATTCGTTGTTTTCGTCGATGATTAATTGATCTCTAAAGAGAGCCATCATTTCACTTTCGGAACTCGACATGAAGGGAAGGAAGCCTACACTTTGATCTCACTTGAAGCATAGAACACAAAAAGATTGCAACACTTAGAAATTTCTAGAACCTTGTCAAGCCTAATGCTTTGAACAGAAATAATTTTATACATGCACCCTCTGAAACTAATTATTGGCTGATTACAGCGTATTTGACTTTTAATAAACCGTTCACACAAAAGTGAAACTGTATCTATAAACGACATCCTTTTATTTTAGAAATCATTATACAATATAGTGTAGAATGATAGACTTGTTTAATTCTTCAAAATAATAGCTTTCAAGGAAGTTTTCACCAAGGATCGATATCATCCAGAGAGCTACTAAAAACCTGTGACCCCTGGACGATTGTCTTGTCGTAGTTCAGGACTCCTCGGCAGTGCACATCGTACCACCCCGTGTATGATCAAACTCAGGATTGCCAAGTCTCGTGACTTCGTGATGAAGACTCCTAAAGTAGTTTGATTTTTTGCCTACAAACCTCCAGGTAATAAGTGTTCAGTGCTCCTATTCAATTACTTCATTCATAATTTCCTTTCATCTTTGATATTTCTCTTTTAGTGTCTTTGTCTCCGTCTAATAAACTGTCTATCTGAGCGGCAAAGGAGGTCCAGCTTATGCATTATTGGTAAAGGCATTCATTTTCTGCTAAAATGTCACCAAATTGATATACCGGTGGTGAATAATTTATTCCCATATTCTACGTTTTTAAAATCATGGACTTCTCAACCCATTTCCGTTTTGTTGGTTTGTATATCAAGTTGGTTTCCCAAAGTGTGTTCTAATTCTCTTAGTGATCCTAACCCTCGTCCTGAAACAGAAATATTGGATGTAAGTTTTAGTTTATCTATAATGCAAACAGTTTGTAAATCAGGTATTGTGAAGATTGAATAACCTTTGTAATATCTTTTTTATTGGGTTTTTCAAACTATAGGATCTGATAAAGTTATCTTTTTTATCGAATGTAACGCTTCCTGTCTTACCGGAATGTTTCTTCTCGATACTTAATGCATGGAATTCGTTGTTCAATTTCTCAATCACACATAGATATTTAAAAACATGGGTAGGTTTAAGTATTGTTATTTATTATCGTGCTACTACTTTTGTAGTTGGTTTATGTATATCAACTTCTTGGTTTTATTGCTTTCTATATCTGATTGTCTGAAGTAGAGTGGACGCTAACTGCGTTAATACAGAACTTCTTTGCTTGCAATAGCCACTGTCTATTACAATCGATTACGTTTATTCGTTTGAGTGGTTCAAACCTATAGTTAATATGATTTTTCGCTTACGGTTGGTTGCGTCGAAAACAGTTTTCACTATGGATTACTGTAATCTAGAGAGAATTGTGAGAACGCGGGAAGTATTGGTCAACTGGTTTTCATTGGTTTAGGCTCAGTCATCATTTTTGTTCTCCAAATTGTAGTAATTCACCTTGAATATCTTCTCTGCCGACTCATTTTTATTTATTCAGCTTTGCTGTACTTAAAAGAGTCTGTACCTTAGGTGAGCTGGCTGACTCAAAAATAAGAGGAACGATTATTTAATCTTCACCGAATAAACTTATATATATTGCTTTCTCACTTTTATGTTTCCCGTTTATTCGGTATATAGTTTCAGGAATTGAAATCGAATATCGACCAGCTTCAGTCAAGGATTACATCTGATCATTTCTGTGCAGATCTTTTAAAATCACTTCAAAAAGTAATGCTACTTGTTTTCCATATATGAAGTCGATTTAATTTATGTAATAACGAATGCATTATTATCTGGTTTACTGTTTTGATTGTTTATTTCTGCTTTAAAGTTTTAGTTCAAAGGCTCATTCATTTCTTTTAGCACCAGGGCCATTGGTTCTGGTCTTAGTTTGAGAAATTTATCTTGGTCATCCAAGTAGTATCATGTTCTTTCGTGAAACAAGTGTGACTAACAGTTTGTATAATCTGACTTGTATTCCACCACTTGCATTCACCATTGGTCTTCTAGTTGCATCAGCCGTAACGGCGTAATTGCTGACGAAATTCCATCTTAGATACTGGAGGACCGTTTAACATTTGCCAACCTGCGTCATCTATGGCACCGACTGGCGAGATATCCGACTATCTATCAGAGAACGAGTATAGTACGCTGCAGTCTGTTCTGTCCTGTTGTACGGCTGTGAGACATGACCGTTAAAAGTAAAATATATGAAGCAGTTACAGGATTGGAAAAGCAAGACAGGCTTTCATTAACCTGAAACCAGTGTGGAGATCTTCTGCACTCACCGTGTGGAACAAGAACCGGATTTTCAACACCAATGTCAGTCAAGTCAGTGCTTCTATATGGTTCAGAGACTTAGCTCTTTACGAAAGACATTTCCAACAAACTACAGATATTCATCAACAACTGCCTACGCTCGTTACTGAAGATCAGATGGATTGCCAGAAAGAATAAGCAACAAGGAACTCTGGCCTGGTGATAGACCAACCAAGAACCTATCGCCCAACAAATATGCAGAAGAAGGAAGTGGAGATGGATTGGGCATGCACTGAGAAGACCATTCGGGGACATCACGCGCCAGGCACTCGAGTGAAACCCAGATGGGAAACGATGAGTTGGGTGTCCGAGGTAAGGGTGACATGGAGGAGATGGTGTCAGGAAGAAATGAGAGCTTGTTGGCAGTCATGGAACCAGGTTCAAAAGATTTCAGATAACAGAGTGCACTGGAGACGTGCTACTGAAGCTCTATGTTCCATTAGGAACCCAAGGGACAAATAATAATAATTACAGGGTTCGACCTCAGATATCGTCGTAGCATTGCTTGCCTTTGGTGGTATCACCGTATGAGCAATGTTGAGGTCAGGCACAGGTGACTAGGTAAAACAGAAAAGTTGTGAACCTTAGTTGACTGGGATGGCTTGGACATGTACTATGCATGCCAGTGAGAGCCGTCGCCTACCTTGACGTGCGATGCTAGGGGAAGTTGGGTTGGGTTTTTTAGAGGGTTAAGGATGGCTAGACGAAGACGTGGCGTCAGTCGATGAAGTCTCTTATTGTTGGTCTGGGTCGTATGTGGAGGTATATATGATCCTTTTCAGTAGCCGTATTTTATTGATACTGACATCATTCATGACCAGTACCATGAAAAGGCTGTTAAATATCACTATGAAGTATTTTTTTTAATCGTTTGTTTATTATTGAAAATGTAATAAGTCAAATATCACCGCAAAAGCGAACCGTCACATTCAGTCAGAAGCTCCGCACTGCATAACCTACCATACCGTTGTACGTTCTTTGTTAGGCATTGCTCTCATGGGTTATAGCTATTTCATTGGTCGATTTGTATCACTGATTGAGATATACAGTTTATTTTATAGCTTCACAATTGTGACCTTTTGATATTTTCTGTGAAAAAGAAAATTTAACTACACACTGTGTAGTGCGTTCCACTATCGCAGGCTTATGTTAATGTGTTGCACGTATGCATTCCGTAATTTAGACAGATTACTTCTTATAGTTTTGTTAAAGTTTATTAATGGGGGAACTGATTGTTTTGGATTATTTTTATGTTCATGCTTTTAAATTCTTTATCATTCCACTTTTTTTCTTTTTCATACAGAAACTTGATTCGGTTAGTTTAATAAAACCTACCATCTCCACACCTGAACTGACTAAAATGCTTCCCTCATGCAGTCACAATGATGAAGATGAAATAAGTAACTGCCTGCGTGATATGTCTTCAGCACTGAATCGTTTAAAATCTGTGTGGCCACCAAAAGGACCTAATAAATCTATTCAATTTAATGAAGCACGAAATATTTTAAAGCATTTTTCTGATTTTATGTGTACCAGTTAACTAAATAATTGTGTTATCCTTTTTATTTACTCTTCACTTTGTAATAAATTGTATTGTTTTTTCTGTTCCCTTCCATGCACATATATCAATCTATATGTAAGCTATCAAATAAAAAGGCACTTTTAGATCAACTCGCTTTTCCACTTTTTACTGAGATTGCATTTCTAGTATACACCAAATGGCCTGTTAAGAATCTGCGATGTGTTGACAATCATTTTATGAATGAGTGTAATTCGATTACATGTACCTCAGTCTTGCAAAATAGTTAATCCTTGTACAACATTTGACACTTTCTAACCCACAGAGCTGTTTGGAACTACTGAAGTGAATGTTTCAGTTTTTATGCAATGCTTTCTCAAAAACTTGTCTCAAGGATTGGTTATTTCGGAAATTAAGAATTTTAGTGCCAGTGTAAATCTTTTTAAAATAATTTTGGACAAGGCAGTTAGCATAATTAATTGCAAGTGATTTATGTCTCATCTATAATTCATTAAAAGTGTAAAAATCTATTTTTACGTATACATTTAGCATAATGGGTGAGGTCAAAGCATACTTTGCTCATGTTTATAACAGTCTAAATACCACTAGATGATAGTAAAATTTCTGGAAAGTGCTGTAACCGATGGTCTTTCTGACTACAGGATTACTGCTATCTAATACTCCACATTCTCTGTTACCCGACTGCTATCAACTAGTTTCCGTATTACCAATGATAGCCTTAAGAGTAATATTCTGTCGTCTAAAGCTGTGCCTTATATTCTGTTACTTGGTTCTTTTCATTATGACTTGCAGACGCAAAGTTCAGTGTGCTACTTTTTTTTACTTTCTTGAGTCTTTGAATTGCTCAGATGTCAATTAATTGACTATGAAAGTTAGAAAATTTAAAGACGAACTCAAATAAACTTGTTTCAAGTTGATTGCGATCCTAATATCCTCGTAGCAACCCTAATATGAATAAAACTTGGGGAGCGTCTGTGGCTGCAATATTATGTGACGCAGGTTTGAATCTCACGGGAGACGTCAGTCCCTTCAAGGTTGTAGATACACCTTAGTGACGAGTGCCAACAAACACAAATCTAGGTTCTGCAGGGTTTCCTGCCGACTGCCTGCAAAGAACTAGCGTCGTGATGGTGGGCACATTGGAAAGTGACTGATAGAATTCGGTGACCACCTGGGACTAGATACCATGAGATTGGTTACCCCCCAATGACCATTCATTGTAAACTTATTATTTTTATGAAGTTGTGCTCAGTTTAGGACATTTGGCTTTCTAGTTTTTTGGTGAATCTGCGATTGGCCATCCAAGTCAGTAATAACGTGAGCTTTACTTTCAGATTTGTGATTACTTATTTGATACTCAGTGGTACAGGCCGGTACTTCAATATTACTGTCAGATCTCTTAACAGAATGCCTTTCGATAAGATGCTTAAGTATTTCCAAAACCTAATAGTTCTCAAACCTGTTTATTTATTAATTATTTTATTTTCCAGCACTTTCGATGGCGAAAATGTTTAGGTTGAGATTAAAACGTGTACTTATCAAAATTTTCTTTTAATAATATTCACATCTTCAGCTACCACTATTTGTGAGCTAATCTGCATTTACGAGGTTTGTAGTTTGAATAAAGTGTCTTCGAAAAGGCTTCAATAGTTGATGTTTGGCATTTTGTTTTCAGTTTGTCCACTATAGCTTATGTAAAATCCCACTTGTTTTAATTCTGTAACTGAATAATTCTTCTTCATGAAGATTTTATTTATAAAGTTACATAAATTGGAAATAGATTTAGTCATGCATTGGTCTTAAGATAAAAAACGTTTCTTCATATTAGGTCTTAGAAGAATGAGACACCTAAAGCATTTTGAACGTATTCCTTGCCGTTAATTGATCTCAACGGTTTTGCTTCACGCAAAAACAAATCCATCAAAGGGTACATGTTTCTATGAAGTCATCAATAAACTGTTGTATCATATAGTAGTAGGTTCATCTGCAAAAATTCTCTCTCCATATATATATATATATATATATATATATATATATATATATGACGTTATTTTTTTCAGAAACATGGAAGGTATACTTGAGACGACTGAAAAATTGTGATGATTCTTTGTTTCTCTGTAAGCAAAGTACTTCGGAAATGTGATTTCAAGACTAATTACTTTTTTGTAGTAGATTCGTATATTTTTATATCGATGATCTAATAACCAGGCTAATTTTCGAAATCAATTTATCCGAATTCATTAGTCGAGAAGCTTAGAAATACAGTTCACTGTCCTAAATCAAAAAGATAATGACTGAATACATGAACGTCATACATTTTTCTTCTTGCAAATGTATTACGACCTAATTTCCCATATCATCATTTATATTAGGCAGGGAAATTGTGATAAATTTTTTTATCTACTTTGTTTTAGAACAAGTAACTTTTATCTGGCTAGTTGTACTGACACATATAACCTTAGGTGTTTTAGTGGTTTGGAAGAATATCGACATGGTGTAACTAGGTGCGGACATTGCGCTGGAGTTTGTATTCTTCGTTAAGTGGAAGAGGAAATATTTTCGGAATGTGATATTGAGTGCGATTTGTGATTCATTCATTTTGATATACTAAGTTAAACACAGTTATAAAAAACCTAAATCCTAACCAGTTGTTTATCATTTTCTACGTTCCTTTTGTTAAAGACTATCGAATAAATAAAACTGAAAAATTCCATTTGCCCATCCTGCTTCACTGTACAACGATTTATGGTATAAAATGCGCAGCTTTTTGGTTCACCTTAGTGGACAGGCTTCAAATGTTGCACAAATACTGGGTGATGATCGGAAATGAAAATTTGGAACGCGGCCGAATTTGAGCCGGCGACCACCGGGTTTCCGGTCCGATGCTCTACCAACTGAGCTACGACATCCGACTGCTGACCAGATTTTTATTTCACTTCAGTCACCAAAGGTCTCTACCCGACTACCATGCGAATTCGTGACACTTTACTATCGCTTGATCCTACCCACACTGGCTATCTAGTCAGGACTTGTCATCCCAGTCTAAATCTGACTTAAATAAAGAGGGGGGGACGGGCAGCATATTGTTTATCATTTGACTATCTGAGATAGCCGTAGTTTGGCAGACTAGTATTGTACTGGGTGATGATTGTAGGTGAAATGAAACTTCGGACCACAGGCGAAATAAATATCTGATCAACAGTTGGACCTCATAGCTCAGTTGGTAGAGCATCGGACCGGAAACCCGGTGATTGCTGATTCCAATCCGGCCGTGGTCCAAATTCTCACTTCACCTCCAATCATCATCCAGTATAATACTACGTCTATCTCAGATGGTCAAAATGATATTGCATAAATATATACTATGTACTAAACTACTCATGCCGAAAAATGCCAATTCTTACTTTTTAGTTATCTTTACGTATCATTTCTATCATTTTAGATATTCCCCCTTGAACGCAATGCGTGCTGTGATACAACGTGTTAAAAATGCTTCTGTTAGTGGTATGTTGTTAATATGTTAACTTCGACAACGACTACACCTTACGCCTTGTTGTATTTTAACTCTCACTTTTATTAAATTATTTCAGTTTGCCTAAGATTTTTTAAAGTTTTGATTACCCAAACTCTTAAATTTGATTTGTGTTTTTTTCACATTATCAACTGTATGATGATGTGTAGGACTGTATTGTATTGTTTGTATGTTATGGCTTGTAAGCCTCCGTCGTTGATTGGACTGAATTAATTAGCCCTTATTGGCATATTGACTTGTGTGCGTATGCCTCTGTATTTCCGAGATTTTCGTTTTAGATATTATTGATGGGAAGTGGCTAGGAATGGAATCGTGTATACGCGTTTCATCCTACTTGGGATTCGTCAGTTGAATGTACCAACCTTGCAGTGAGTGATATTGTACACACTAAGGTAGATAGATCCAGCTGTTTAGTCGTGTATAGGACGAAACACGTCCTGCATTCCACTGCTAGTTACTTTTCATCTTTAATGTTTAGACTATTGTATTTTTTTTCTGGTCTATAATCTCAATTTGATTATGCTGTTAATCAACTTCTATTCCTTTCGTTAAATTGTTTATCATATATAACTTTTTTCTATACTATCCTTAGTAAATGACTCGGTTGTCTGTGAAATCGGTCGTGGAATACTCGTCCTCATTGGTTTGTCAAGACGAGATACAGAAACTGATATGAAGTATATGTAAGCGAAAAATTTCTTGTTACCCTCAGTGTTTATTATTTTTTTATTGTTATTTGAATAATCACATACACGATGAATGCTTTAGGTGATATAGCGTTACCAAATAGCTTTATTTAGTTAAGAAGACCATTTTATCCAGAGTTGAACCAGGTGTAAAGAAGTGAATAAAACTCCTTCAGAAAATTGCGAATTTACTTACAAGACTGTTGGTCAAACTTTTATTTTATCATTATTGTTAATATTTGACTGGTAGGAGTGGAAGCAGAATTAATAAAGTGTAATACTTAGTCTGAATGTCAGGAAAAATTGGCTCTACCCGTAAGGTACGAAAGCTGGTCATAAAATCCATTAATAGTCGATTTCCTCATACATTCCTCAAAATTGGGAAATCTTAGCTGGCATTTTTCTTTTTACAATGCATGAACTTCAATTAGCATTGAACTTTTTTGAAGAATTGTGTTGTCAAAGAGTAAATACTGATTATATAATTCGTATATTGACCTCATGAACTTTAACAGATGAATAGTAAAGACATTCGCCGCATTATCTCCTTCAAAGTCCAAAATCCAGAACAGGATCTCTGGTAGATTTCAACAGTTGATAAGTGTTTCATCCTTTTATTCTAGGTGCGATTTTGTTTCTGTGTTTGCTTCTATATAAAAGTGTTCAGAAACTTCTCTTTTTTTTCCGTCCCAGCACTTCCTACCTTTAGAGAAACTAATTACATATTACTTCGTTTCGGAGGACTGAAATGTCAGAATCAACAAACTTCGCTCTGTGTACAGTTCCTCAGCAAAAGTATGTTCATCAACTTAAATTAGTCTTCAAAGCAATACACAAGGGAAACAGTTTTTCGTTCTGTATTTACATTCAGTTTAGTTCAAGGAGACCGTAAAGTACAAACTTTTCATGTGAAACATGGAAAGGAGTCTGTTCGCTGTATATGATTCTAGAAAATTATGCTTGATTTTATTATGCCACTCCTTGTGTCAGTAGCTTTAAGCGGTTATAAGTAGTTTCATGCTTTGTTTAAAAAAAACAAGTCAGTTGTTATTGCTATATGTGACAGAAACTTCATGCACAAGGTTGTATCAAAGAGACATTTCATTACAGCGACCTGACCTTACTGACAGTGTAGAATCTGAAATATATTCAGAAACGCAGGAAATAAATGAACACCGAAGAAATAAGTACAAAGCCGAAGATTTTTGAAAGAATGGTGTCAATGCTTGTGCAATGTTTGACCGGTTTCCAGTTGGATATTTCTATGACATAAGTTTCACGATCTCTACCGTGATCAATTTTGAATTTCTCTTAGCTCAGATGCACTGTGTAATAACTTCATAAATTGGGAACAGAAAGCTTTACATTCGAGTAGCTTACGAATACACAGACCTCTGGTTGAAAATTGACTATTTAAGCTAGTGAATCACCATCCTCTGAGGAATCAGATGTTTCATATTGATCAGAAACTTGTTTTGTCTAATCTTTTGAGTACATATTAACTGTATATTGCTTCATCATAATAAACTAAATTTTCTTTTCCTACCATTTAGTGTACGAAAAATACTGAATATTCGTTTATTTCCTTCTCCAGATGGTACACGTCGTTGGGATAAAAGTGTTAAAGATTTGAATTTGGAAATCCTTTGTGTCAGCCAAGTAAGGGTTCTTGTTTCATCTGATACATGAATATTAGTTTTTAAAATTTGTATCATTAACTTAAATATATAGGGTAGCTGATTCTGAATATACTGATGTGTTGAATATATCAAGTTAAATTGATTTAATCTACTAACTATATTAGCAAGGTTAGGTTAGTATAATTACCCTGTGTAAAAATGCTCGAAGCATGTTGATGAAAATCACTGATAATCATAACATGCAGTCGGCCGGCTGTCATTTCTTCTACTACTTGTAAAGATAAAGCATCAATGACTTCACGGCTAATTACTGTTTCACAAATTTATTTCCCTCCACTGACCTTCAACCACTTACATTGATCTTTGACACTGTATTTCAGGAAAAAATACAATATTTGTTGCTTACAGAATCGAGAGTGGATTGCGGCAAAGAAGCCGCGAAAACCTGCCAATTTTTTATCCTGGAGACTAACTTTCAAAAATCTTTGGGTAACCGGTTTTCAACACAAATGGTAAAGTAATCTGGTATTAAAATTCTGAAAAAAGCTCCAAAACGTACAAGAAAGTAAACATTTAGTCCGTGTTACAATGATGATAACAAAAGATTTATGATTCCAAGGTTTGTAGAGATTGATCGACTTCAAGTTGGCCTTCATCACGTACCGACATCACTGTGAGATCCACTGAAAACCTAGGATCACTGGACAACGGTTTCGTCCTAGTGTGGGACTTATCAGCAGTATCCATCCATGGCTCCATCAGGGATCGAAATGATAGGCGTTGGAGAATATGGATCATTGAAATCTAGTTCAATGGCTTGATATCCACCTCTTCGCAACGAAAACTGAAGGTTCTCGGTTCGACGCCTGGCATGGTCGTGGGTGTACATTGCTAAGGAACCCCATACTAGGACAAAATGGCTGTCCAGTACACTCAGGTTTCCAATGGTCCTCCAAATGATACCAGTCCGTGATGAATAAGAACTTGAAAATATTTTCGTCTTGTTATCTTTGTAGAGACACAATGTATATATATTCTTTGGGTTGTTTCCGGTTTGTTTAAAGGAAGATTGAAGATATGACAACTAATTCCATAGTTCAGACATTATATTGATGATGTGATAGGAATACAGTAGTATTGTAAACGAATATTTACTGATCGATGTGGGTCCATTGTGCCCAGAGTTCTCATTATTTCTATAAGTGTAGCGACTAAAGGAACTAGAATATTATTGAACTACTATTTAGTTCAAACATATGGAGTTATTCAAGTAAAACAGCTACACAATAGCTTTTTCATCAGCTTAACTCAGTTTTTTAGGAACATAAATTACTTTGAAGTTGAGAACGCAATGGATGACAGCTACTTACTCGGGTGCAGAATAAATTATTTTTTGATTATTAAGGTGTCAGCACTGCATATGATGCAATACAGTTTCTGTCAGTGACTAATGTTCATTAACGTTTATGATTCTGTGATATCTGTTGGCGAAATTTAGATCAGATATCATTTAAACATTGGCAGTAGAGTGTGGTTGATTTCATGAACTAAGCATAACCATGTTTTCGTTGCCTTTAATATCCAGTTCTGCTGCTTTAGTTATACTAGTAGTAGTGGTTGATTGAAGGCGATCTTCTGAAATCTGTTCATGACTCCTAACACTAATGGAATAAGTAAATCGCTCATCTCATTTAAAAATTCGAATCTGCTTCAGTCTGAGTTGCTAAAAGAAACGCTACAGTCATTGATTGCTATGATGTATTCACAACTAAACATAGTTTGTCTTAATAGCCAGTCGTCTAATTTAGTAACCAGAATTGTGATGGCTAAACAGCGTAAGTTTAATTGTTACCACTGAGTGACGAATTAGGGTTAACGGATTATATTACAAAGCTTGAAAAGCATTTTCATCAAAACGCCTTCGTCTTAAATATTGGCATTTTCTACAAGCTTGGTTCACGAGCCTATATATTTATGACGTATAGCATCACATAGTTTCCAGCCGGCCAATATCAATATGAAACCTGGTATAACTTAACACACATACATACAACGCACCTTATATTAACGCACTAAGGTAAAATACACGAGGCTGAAGGATAGAGAAGAAGAGTAATCAAATGTCACAGGAAGAGAAGAAGAGGAGTTAAGACGAATAGCGAAATGTGATATGACGATTGAGGTGAAAGTGATGTATGGTCGTATCTGCTTCACTGAGATCAGTCCTTAATAATATAGACTCGAGTTGTCAACTACTGATTTTGTCTGTCGCATGGACCCCAAACGAAAAGTTTGCATTTCCGTATACGGCTCATATCAACGGTCAGAGACTTCATGGATTAATTCGGTATCTTAGTTTGGCCACCTTTAACCTTTATCCACCCTGAATCGCCTTGAGTTAACAATGAATGGAAGTGTAGACGTTAACTAAGCATGCGCAGCACATTTGCAAGCCACCTGAATACGTGGAAGTTCACAACTTCATCAACTGACTTTCCTCTTCTGCCTAAGACTCGATGTCCAACTTCTACGTAACTATCTTGGTGGTTTAGCAAAATGACCTACTCTTTCCATAGGAAATACTACATATAGTGAAGTATATAGTGCATAAGTGGATGTAAATAATCTGTTTACTTATACAAATTGCTGCCATTATCCTAAAGTTACATAAAATTGCAAAGCGTTTAGTTCATTTCAAGTCGTCTGGTGTTCTACTATTTCTTACTTACTTAGCCCGTTAGCAGAAGAGTTTAATGTACAAAGTTTTGGTTGTAATGACAATTAATGCGCTCAAGACGCATAACTTACATTTCACATCGGATCACGTTTTGAAGATTCGTAAATCTTTACCTACAATAATGGTGTTTATTGCTTTGATCATTTCCTGGACATTAGTCTGTTAACTATCTGTCAGTTTATATTCTTACTTAAAGATCATGTATCTAATGACTACTCGGCTTCATACAGTTCATGAATACACACTCAGTATGAAAAATGTCTTTAGTTATCTAAAATTGTAAGTGTAATCACCCCCTTCTTTTTGCTTCGAAATGTTATTAATGTTTTGATATTGCTTATAACCGATACTGGAAGATTTGCTTTTAATAAATATAAGCAACTTAGAAAACATATTGCATCAGTGTTAATAGGTTAACTCATCTGTTAATGAATTTTTATTTCAGTTTACACTTTATAGCGAGTTGAAAGGTAATAAATTAGATTTTCACTGTGCTATGGATCCAAAGTTATCAAAGGATATGTATTCACAGCTTGTGGATCAAATAAAGAAAAATTACACTGAAGACAAAGTTAAAGGTAATTAAAGAATTTAAGGAAATCTGCTTTCATATGTAAACAATATTTTATTTTTTAGGTAGTATTCATCATGAACTGATATCAGCTGAAGAACTAGTGAAGAGAAGCTTGGAGCACTGGACACCTATATAGTGTTCACTGCTGATATGCTTCGAAATGGATATTCCGAAGTTCTTATGAGAAATCTTGACCTGCAGGGTCAACCAGTCGAAAGGGAAGCGGATGCCAACTAAAGATCTTGTTGGATAATTGCACTATATCGCTAACTGACGGAAGTAGGGAACTGTAGACCATTGGACACCGACCTAATGGCTGGACGTTTAATACGTTTGCCGTGAGACATGAAGTCCCTGAACTCAATCCCTGACAGGTCTGTAGGTGTGTGCTGCGGAGTCCCAAACTAGGACATAACAGCTGTCCAGTACTCCCAAATTTACAGTGGTTCTCCAACTGATGCTAATCCGTGATAAATACTACCCCAAAACCAAAATCCCTATAAACCCCAAACTGCATACTAGTTTATTTACTTGTATTATTATTGCATCGATGTAACTACCAGCAATGAACTGTGATGAAAATGTCATTCGTTGAAATGGAATGATACTCTGCCAAATTGCTCGAATCGGTCACCAGTGAGAAGTCAGTGTAGCTGTCTAGTCTTAGTGTTCAGCATTGGCCGAAGTCTGTTGATCAAACCCAACATTAGAATACGATACATCGTGATATGCATAACTTAACTTAGTGACCATATTGGAAACTTTAGCGATAGACTTCAATTAATTTTGAACACTAAGGATCTCGACAACTACGCCAGTTACCTGTTGGTGACCAATTCATGTACAAGACCCAGTTTTGCAGGAGGTCTGTTGTGGCCTGAATAGATTAGTGGTTAAGTTTTTGACTTCAGCGGTCAGCGATGCCGGTTGGAGTTATTGAGGGAACATCAGTTGGTTGCAGATTCGCCTTGTTAGTGGCTGCCAACAAGCACGAAACCTAGATACAGGATCTTCTGCCGATTGACTCCTAGCATCCCAAACTAAGAATTGTTGAGTAACTGTCTCATTACACCACTGAACAATTTGACAGTGCATTTTCTAATATTGAAGAGTATTGACTGCAAATTACATCAGCCTGCAGAGAATTCGCTCGATTTTTCTCTTTTCCGACTAGATTGAATAGAAAATTAACCATATAGTGAAGCTGTTTAGTTGAACAATAACACCCACAATTCATCAGTATTTACAGGTTCGCATAGTGGGTAAAAGCGGTGTAGGTGTGATCATAAGTCTCTTTTTTAATGGGTAGTATGCTATTTTGAGCTGATCGATTCTAGTTTTCGTTGTGTTTAATGAACAGCGTCAAACAAAAGGAAATAATGTATGACAAAATATCCTTATTAAACCTTTTTCTACCTTCCTATCTGACTAACTTGCAGCTATTTGGTTCATAAATGTTAACTAGATGATAAAAAGCACTCTAGCAGAAGTTAGTATACTCAGCTGCCTCTTCTAAACACAGTTTTCTAGTACGGTTGAATGGTGTTCTAACAAAATATATTTTGTAGCTTGTAAGAAAAGAACTATTGAATTTCAAACAGTTCATCTCACGTTTCTTTGGTTAATACATCTTCGAATCTTGTCATTTCCTTCACGATGAATAACAAAGTCTAGAAAATGGAATTCATCATCCTGCTTATTCTCCGCACGAGAAAATTGTTCATAGAAGAGACTTGATGGAAATCTGGCGCCACTTGATAATTGCTTGGGGTACCATTGGTTATTCACAGAAATTCATCGATAGATATGTGAAGTCAGGTGGGAAAAGAGTAGAGTGTAGCACATCATAAGATAAGTTTATTTAGTCGGTTCACCACGGAAAACCTCAATACTTGTGTTTCGAAATCAATTTCAGGAAATATAAGTTTCAATTTTGCTTTGTGATGTCTACTCGACACTTTTCAACAAAAGTGGAGTTGGATTTAAGAACTGTTTCAACTATCATCAGAAGCCTGTAGATTGACACTTATATATCCGAGTGCTGAAGGATTCTTAGCTTGACTAAGGTTATTGTGAATAATATTGGATGCTAATATTTAGCCTAATGAGAATACATTCTCTCACTTTTCTTTCCGTCTTTGCTTCAAGATGGAATTTTCGGTGCAGTGATGGACGTCAGTCTTATCAATGATGGACCCGTTACTATTACACTTGATTCGAATCCGGATATCAATCGAAACATTACATCAGATCCATGTGATAGTAAAAATCAAGATGTATAATAACTTGCAACTTATTTAATTATTGAATAAATTTGTAAAAAAGAACATTTTTTCATGGCTTTATTTTGCATCTTTTACAAATTTTATTTGTTAGTTTTACGCTATCGAATCTTATAGCTTCGCGGAATAATTAGTTCTTCTGGAATTTTCACCATTTATCTAATTTTGACGAAAACATTCGTTAGTAGAGCATTTTGTTGCTCATTCTGTCTGCTGGTTAATTCCAGTTCCGTTGTTGTGTTGATAATATAAACATATATATTGTTCTAAGTCTCCAAGCATGAAAACATATGTCTGCAATTTCAATTGAAATGTTGACTTATCTCTGAGTAAGCTGTTTAAACTCATTGCTTGTACTCTCCTATCCAGTCTTAGAGGAGGTTAATAGCGACCCCTATGGCTTATTGATAATGTTACTGACTAAAACACTGAGCGATGTGGGTTCGAACCGCAGAGTTGACATCAGTTCTCTCGAGGTTGCAAATACGCCTTGCTGACTAGTGCCAACAAACACAAAACCTAGGTTGAACGAAGTTTCCTGCCGATTGCGTCCAACCAAACTAGCATGCTGATGCATTTAATTTTGTGACTAATAAGTTTAAGCATCTTAATTGGTTATCTGTTGTCCGTAATGTACTGTTGTTGTTCAGTAGTATAATCTAAGCAGCTGGCATTCAGCTATTCGTATCAGTGTTTCTTCTCTGAATACAGTGAAGTCAGCAACAGAAGATTTTCTGGGTTACCTGCTCACAATTACGACAAGTTGATAAGTAAGCGTAAAAGTTACATGTAGCCGCAATCTGATTATTATTCACAGTAAATGTTTTCAAAGACATTTACAAATACCTTGACATCTTCTAAAGCTTGAATACCCACACTAACCTTCATCTTTGGATCGCTGATTCTCTTACACAACGTTTTCTCTTCTTATATCACTCCTTTCCATCAACCTATCCTTTGAATACTCCTGTGAAGTTTGGCAACTTGAGCCGATGAACTTGTGTGCTAGGTTGTACATTAATTTTGTCAGTCAGTCATACAACGTATGGTTCAAGATAATTATATATTCTTATGAAGAATAACCTGTATATTTGCATGTTTCAAAAAGTCATGATAAGAATGTATGCTGAATATACATTCTGATTAACTGCTTAATGGTTATGTCTGTGAGAAAAGATATAGGGAGTTGTATGATTTCTTTATAAAAAAACAGTCAGAAAATACCTCACAAGTAAAGAAATTGTTTTGCTTTCGTAAACAACAATCTTTCTGCAAAATACTTGATTGATACAAGTCATTAACTCAAGCTCGGCATGTCTATTCAGCGTATTGCAGCGATGGCTGTAAGTTAATCGTTTGACATGGTTTTCACAAAGAGAACATCTTTCATGTGAAATATTTAAAGCCAATATCATTTCTGTAAATGCTCTTCAAATACTGTATGTAGTCTTTGACGTCATAGTTTCAACTGGATACTATGAAATTACAAAAACAGCAATAATCATGTATATTTTTCAAACTTCGCAATTAGATAATTAATTATCACATCGCATGTGTATCTATTCATATTTTCTATCACTTGCATCTGAAAAGATACTACTCTCAACAACTTGAATAGTTAGAAACCACACAGGCTGATTTGTCCATTTCGTCAGCCAGATCAGAGTTATCTGAGCACCGTTCGGTTGTTTCGCTCATTTGAGGGACGCGCTCATCATCAGTGTACCCGAACAAATTCACCTCATAGTACCGTATAGGTTCAGATCACCTGAATCTGACTAGCTGACTTCTATGAAACGGGATATCTAAAATAGGATGATCAACTTTCAAATGATTTCAAAGTCGCACGTTGCATCCAAGTCTCCGGCGGAAACCTTGTTGACAGCAGAGTTGGATAGTTGGAAAAATACTCACCTATGAAGAATGTCAACGTGGACCATGCGATTTGTAAGGGATTTGAAAATTGATCATCCTATTGCATGCAAAAACATGAAGGGGTTTTACAGTTTGCTTTACACCTTCAATTAGTGAACTCAAAAAGGGATTTTAGTGTGAGGTAGCTTATTTTTTTATTTTACAGACCTACTTCATGCCTCAACAAAGTGTCTATTCGGTGCTTAGAATCTATTAGGAATCCGATAATGAGAAGCGAAAAGTAATTTTTCATTGTTTTGTTACATCCATCTCTGTTATTGTTTCAGTCAAAATCAGAGACCTTTAAATAACATAGAACCAAGTATGGTTAGATGATGATCAGAGTTTATACTTTTGACATCAGTATATCCAGGGGGGAGTCATTGAGAGGGAGGGCAGCAAAGTGAAAGCATTTTTACCAGAGATTGTAAACACTTGTACGCGAAATTAAGGTTTTTAAAGTATAAAGGAAGAGATGATGTGGATAATTCAATACCCTGCCTAAAGTATCTCTTTAACCAGTGATTCTGCTAGTTTCGTGGTTTGCAACTAGGTTCGAAGATTTCTTGGGTTGATGCCATATTTTGTTCCAGCTTCCTAGCAATTTCATCCTACTGTAGCTAACACCATATCCTAATCCACTCTTTTGTTCAGTATGCGTAAAACTGTCGTAGCAGCTTCCTTTAGTTGACTTTTCGAGTGAATTTAAGTGGATGTTCGTAAATTTTATTATGAACACGGTTTATCTGAGTTACCCAATAACTGTCATTTATCTTAGGTTGATAGTTATACCATAAATGACAATAATAACCGTAGTTGGATCTATTTCCTTGGATGTAGAAGTGGGAAATAAGATAGTAATAAACTATGCAGTTGTGTGTATTAAAATAAAATTTGGAATCAGAAGAAAGGATCTGAAATATTTTTTCTTTAAGGAGTACAATATTGTTTTCAGTTGTAACCACATCATAAAGTCTCTTCATTAAAAAAGAGTGAATAATTCATATTTGTGTTTAATGTGATAAATATTTAGTTTGTTTTAGTCTGACCACATAACCTACATTTGGCTACTGTATGCGCACGTTACTTGTTCAAAGTCTCTGGACTAGGCATCCTAAGGATTTGAACTATTATGCAAGTTGAAAAATAAACTCGGGAAGTGTTTTAATGAGTCTGGTTCGTAAATGTTCAGTAAATTATAATAATGCTCTTATTTGTATCCCATAGTAAATTCACACGATGAAATAATCCCCTTTTTCGATGATTCTTTCTAACAGAGGAGATGGTTACTTGTCAAAAAATTTTACGCAGTCACCTATTTAGCTCGATAATGAGAGTTCACTGTTATTAACGTGGGTCTACATGGGATGCCCACCTTGTGAGTGTACGGTAGGTCGTTCATGAGAGGTAAATACAAACATTAAAGTTTCAGGTCTTTATAAATAGGTTAGTTATTCAGTTGTTCTTTCAGCTGGTTTATGATTCCACTTCCTACTGTCGATGCTTTATTGTTTTTCTTCTTGTTCATGAAGACTACCTGAAAATCTTAGTCTAGTTTCATTATAACTAGATCTGTCTTTTCTGGACACTAATTGATTTCTATTTTTACTAGAGAATATTTTCGGTTTTACTTTCGGTGGTATTTAATTTTATACGATGTGCATAGATAATACATTTGTGTTTCGCAACTATATGACCGTTTCATATCTTGAACAAGGCGCATCTAAACATTAGTGTTACAATGGAATACGAACATGAAAATCAGCTCAGCTTTATTTATTTATTACTTAAGAGATATGATGACGATACAATTAAGAGAAACATCTAATAAAGGAAAATAAGCTGGACAGGATAGAAACTGAAATAGTAACTATCTGATAGATTGCAAGTGTTAACTAGTTACAACGTTGTCAAACGGAGTTAGAAAGGTTTCCTGAAATGATAAAATAGATGACGAATTCTCTTCAATATATATCTATCAGATAACGACTGTCCGGACAATTTCATCAAAAGGCATTGGAGATTGCGTAGTGAGAGAAGGAATGTAGCTACGGTTGAGGTTAGGCGCTTCTGTTGTCAAAAACTATCTGATCACGAAACTTGTTTATCTACATTACTTTAGTCAGTAAAAAACGAACAAGTACCTATCTAGCCTCAGCTACAACTATACTTATCAAGGCAAATATATTGAAATGCCAAAAACGTTGACCTGTATTCTTCCCTCCAGGAACCTGAGATTGAACAATTTCCAATCGCTTAGAAGTTCATTTGCAAGCTATTTAGTCAATCAGGACACTTTATAAAAATATCTTTAGTCTTTAAATCAACTGATCAACAAAAAGTTTCTGTCCTACTTACCGTCACAGAAACAACATTTAAACCTGACGTTTGTGTTCAGAAAAGAAATTTATGTACCATGACCGTGGTAACTATGTTTGTCTTAACTACAGCACTTTTTTCTACCATCACCCTGTCTTCTATTTCATATCCGTTGTTTGCAACCGATTCTTCCACATAACTACTCGGAAATAGATGTTTATATATTAAATAAAAGGAAGACATAGTAAGTAATATGGTTAACTTTGTTTAGCTTTATAGCTGAAAATCGAATGGTATGTTGAAAAATGGCACGAGTTTTTTTGCCAATATTTAGATTTCTACAAATTTCCCTGTGAAGCTAGTTAAACAACAACAGAAACCGTAGATTTTTGTCGTACTTCAAAGAAGTGGTTTTCCCGCGGCTTGCCTTTCAATAATGTACATACAGTCTATCCAAAAATGTTAGAATATTAAACTATGTTTTGTCCAGTCACTATAGATTAGCTTTCAGTACAAGGACAATATCCATCAACATAGGAAAGAAAAAGAACAATTAGTTCAGAAGAGAAGAGAACTCATTCTAGCTGTTTCACACTCCAAGGTGTACAACTCTTGCGTTCGAAGCGATTCCCGCTGGGTTTTCGAATCCCAGAGAAAATCTCATCACCCGCTGAGATGCAGGTGCATCCAGCTGGATGAAGTGCACATATGTAGTATTTTTGACAGTTATGGTAGACTGTTGGGTATGGTTACAAGAAAGGGTAAATCTCAGTATTAATGCTCACTCAAGATAGTACATATTTGTAATTGTACATACAGCTTTGTAAATGAAATAGCAGTAAAGGGTTTCTTCATTGAATGACATGATGAACTTTCATTGTTTTGTTGCATATGAATGTAATTTCCATCATAAATTGACATCAGTTGGAGGTTTCCCGAAGATTTGATGAGAAGTTGCGATCTGTGGAGTCAACTAGGTTGAGGGTGTCTGATGACCATTGGTAATTCATTGTGAATTGAGAGAGGTCGGAAGA